AGGCAGGTGGGGTGTGTGTGAGTGCTGTTAATTTACAGATAAGCATGGAACAACTAGGTTTTCATTGGCAAATGTTAACATCACAGTAGAAAAGCCTACAAAAATTCTCTTCCAGAATAATAGAAATGTACAGATAAGCAAAGTAAGAAAAATGCTGCTCAGAACTTACTACAGTTTGATTTCAGGATGTTTAATTTGAATCTTTGACAAGAGCTGTTGACAGTTTGTGATTTAATTTTTATAAGCTTTAACTTTTTGAATCTGAATATCTACTTTCGTTAAATGATTCTAAACCACTCTTGTGATTTTCTACAACTGAAAATTTAATTAGATAACAATTTCGAAAAATGTTTAAAAATAAACATCAGTATTATCCATCAGGATTATAAGAGAAATAAAAATCAAATTCTGCTATGTGTGTTTATAGGTTTGTGATTTAATTTCTGCTATGTGTGTTTATAGGTTTGTGTAGTACCAAATGAGCGGATGTAATATTGTGTTATATGCTGGACAGTCATAAAAGTAAGATTGCATGTCTAACTATTTCAGAAGTTATGCTATGCCAAATGCAAATTATATGTAACTGGATTTGTTAAAAAAAACTACTTTGGTATGCCAGAAGTGGCAGGAAATTGAACTTGACTGTTGATAATAGGGTGGATTGATTTAAATCATGATTTAAATCAAGTATCCCACTGATACTACTTCACATTTCTTCAAACTGTCGTGCAAATCTGGTAACTAAGACATGTACAGCTCAGTACAGTATTTTAAAATATCTAAGAGGGCACACTTTGTATAATTTTTTTACATAACTTGATTTTTATTAATAGGAAATAGTACATAATACTCATTACTTGTGCCAACTTGCAGAAGTAGCAGCAGTACATTAGGAATGGTAAGAAGTAAATCATACACACAAACACAATAACACTTAAATTTTATTAAACTAAAACTTACATTTGAAATTGCAGCTGTCTCCTGAGTTGCTGACTGAGGTCTGTTTTTAAACTATTGTACAGGTTGGACCTTCCTGGTTTTGCACCTTTGGGACCTGACTGGTCCCGAATGAGGGAATTTGCTGAACAGTGGGAGATCCCCTGACATCAGCCTTTCAGCCTGCTGCCCTTCCCCACTGCTGGATCCTTTGGCCTGGCCAGCCCTAGCTCTGCTGCCTGCAAGGTGGCATAGGGTCTGGTTGTGCTGCTTCTGTTGGGCTGCCACGGCCTGGCTTTCCC